CTACATCACGCTTTGCCAGCTAGCAGCCTCTGCTTGACTCCCTGCCCATGTCAAACACTCTTGACTATTACGATATGTGATGTCTCTCGTGCTGAATCTCAGGTGTGTGAGAAGTGAGAAGAGAGCATTGATGTCATTCTGCGACATGCCAACACCGCCCGTGGCAGAGAAAATCAGTGTCGCCAGCTTGCGGGAGCTGTCAAAAGACTCTACAGGTTGCGGTTACTGTTATTCAGATGTCCTGCCCTCCCCTTCTACATTGTCGGGAGCCCCGATGTCCTCGCTCTCATCACTGCCGAGATTCACAGCACCTAGACTCGATGGCCCGGCCTCATCGACCACACCGATCTCCTGCCCTAGTGTTCTTTCGGCCACTGCGACCGGGCATGCCCTCGCTCGATGTGAGTTTAAAGTTCGTAAAGACATGAACAGCCTGCCACAGTCGCACACCCTTGGACCGCTGTCCATTTTTTAATAGCGTTTTCCTGATTCGCCTCTTTCATAACCATTGAACTTCTTTCATATGTGGCGGCTGCACGTTTGTCTCGAAGTTAGCGACTTACACCCTTCAGCTTGGGACACCGCTTTCTGATTACTGTGTGCATTCCAAAAACAAACATAGCGGTTCGGACAATGTTTTAATTAGCATTTTGCACGTTGTTTCTGCCCGTTTTAATAGTAAGAAGCAAAACATATTTTGTTGTTTTGTCTCATTGTTGCACATCCTCTTTCGTGTGAGAGAGAGAAAGAGAGGAAGTACTGAGTGTCGTTTTCAAATTCAATGATCTGTGTGTGATCACAATTGAGAGAGATTACTAGTCAACCATGTGACAAAATAATTTGTGTGCCATGAGATCAATGGTCATGTAGTCAAAGGCAACGTTTGACGCATGGTAGAGGAGATATGACAAAACATTCATCAGTCACGTTTGCGCGGTGTTCTTGACCAACTTTCCATCCACGACGTTTCTGTATGTGTTATGTTTTTTTTCATCGGCACCTGATAATGATTGCAACTCGACACCCTAGTCGACCTCCACAAGCACTTCCAAAACATTTCACATATTAATAAATTAGTATTCAAATAACCGAGAATACAAGAAAAACACAACATACACACATTGGTCATCATAGGGGGTGTGATGTGTCTCATTTATTCCAAAAGGTGTTGAATTATGACATACATCGTAAAAATCAGCAAATGATTTGAATCTTGTTAAATCCACTGTCTGCACGCAGTAGTGAACCGTACGTACTCGTAGCAGGAAGAGAGCAGCCAACCTGACATACAATACGCAGACGGATGTACAGTTTCTCATATAGCTAGAACTCAACATATATCATATGGAGAGAGAGAGAGAGAGAGAGAGAGAGAGAGAGAGAGAGAGAGAGAGAGAGAGAGAGAGAGAGAGAGAGAGAGAGAGGGAAAGGTTCACTACTGCGGGCCAGAACGACATAAAACAACACCGGTGGACACAGATACATCATGCAGTAGTGAACCACGTGTAGTTCGAGAGGCAAGAGCAGCGAACATTATACACAGACAAACAAGGATGAAGAAGATGTAATATAGGCAGAAGTCAACATACATCATATATGAAGACAGAGAGAGAGAGAGAGAGAGAGAGAGAGAGAGAGAGAGAGAGAGAGAGAGAGAGAGAGAGAGAGAGAGAGAGAGAGAGAGAGAGAGA